TAAATGTCTTCCAGGGTGGCTGCGTTTCTCACTAACCTTGAAGAGACAATAGGAGATGTGATTAGTAGTCTTTGGGATGTGGATGTCTTACTCCTAATCCCTCACTCATCCCCAAGTGTGCTCCTTTCCTGGTGAACTTAATCTTCCTGGGGACTGATGAAAGAGCAGCATGAAAAATGGGAGACAAGTTGTGTCTGAGGCCTCCACCTCTATTGAGGGAAGGAGTTTCCACTTTGGCATAAATGGATTCCTTCACTCCTCTCTCAAACCACCTATCTTCTCTGTCCAAAATGTGAACATTTTGCAATAAATGGATTCCTTCACTCCTCTCTCAAACCACCTATCTTCTCTGTCCAAAATGTGAACATTTTGCAATAAATGGATTCCTTCACTCCTCTCTCAAACCACCTATCTTCTCTGTCCAAAATGTGAACATTTTGCAATAAATGGATTCCTTCACTCCTCTCTCAAACCACCTATCTTCTCTGTCCAAAATGTGAACATTTTGCAAGATAAATGGGGATATAGTCCATTTGTGCTCAGACTTCCATCTAGGAAGCTAGCGTACCAAATGGAGTTTAGCTTAAAACATGTACCACTTTGCCTACATATAACCAGTGCTAATAATCAGTAGCTTATTTTTTATTTTTTGTTCAGACAGTCTTCCTAAATTTGAAGTAGCTGTTAGTTTGAAATTCAGTTGCTGGTAATGAGGCAGTCAGGTCCGTGTATTAAGCTTGAGCAACTTGGTCTATTTGAACTGACTGTGGAACTTCCTCTCAGAGTGCTCACCCTCCTGAAGATAGACTGGTGAGGACCTGTCTGTTGAGATCCCCATCCCTGTTCTAGCTAATGAGGATCTTTGGATTTCCCCAAATTTCAGATGGATCTGTTTTTATCCTGATGCTCTTGGGTGTAGCTTTTGTTTGTGATTTTGTTAGCTATAGTAGTATATTTTTAGAATTGTGAACTGCTTTTAAATCACATGAGGAGAAATATCACAGGGCAGTAATTATATCAAAGGGCAATTATACATGTATAATCCCAAGCTGGCCCAGTGGACTCCCTCCAAAAGAAAGAAGTTTAATGGACCCACCTTCTCTTTCCATCCAGATGCATATAGGTCACCTCATAGTCCATTTTACCAGCTACCTCCTAAAGTGCAACGGCATTCATCTAACCAGCTCTTGGTTACTCCCACTCCACCTGCACTACAGAAGCTGCTAGGTAAGGGTATTTCCCCCCTTTCTTTGAATGGTTCATATTTATTGGCACAGCATCTGCTGGAGGTGTAGATCCAGCAGCCCTATGCTGTGATCTTGCTCACAGGTTTGTTTGTTTTTAAAAATCTTAGGACCCCTGCTAGATTTTCTGAGGATTCACCAGTTTCCTCGAAGCCTTTGGATCTCCCTTCCTATGTGGGTGAATTCATGCACTTGCAGATTTCCATCATAACCTGTTAAAAAAAATCTGTTTATCATCTACTTAACTAGTGGGGCCTGACTGCTGGTGAAAGACTGGTTGAGCATGACTTGAAATAGGATGTGAAGTCTGCCAGCAGGAGAATGGTGCAAAATTATTTGGCAGATTCACTAGTAGACGTCTGAAGCTCTGAAGAGCAGCTTCAGTTGTAGAATAAAAGAACAAGGCACCTCTTAAATCCAATCCTGGAATTTGTTTTCACTCCCAGAACTGAATGTGCATTTCTTTCATATAAAAACTGAGTTCTGTTTTTTAAAATATACTTTTTGCTTCCCTCCACTCTGGTTTTCTTTGTTTCAAGGATCTAATTTAGTGAAGTCATTTTTAAAATTTTGTTACTAGGATTTATCAATCCTTGCTGCGCTATTGCAGATAGAGTTTTAACAGTAGATTCCAATCAGATTTTTGCCTGTATTGTATCTCAACTACAATGCAGTGTGTTCAAGGTTCATGATAACCATATCATGACATGCTGAAAGTACACACATCCCTACCCCTACCCCTACCCCTATCCCTGTCAACCCAGAATATCAAAAGTACCTGTTTTCATAATGGTGTATACTTTCAGCATGTCATGAAAAAATTATCTCTTGGAAGCTGCCAGACAAAGCAGTAGAAAATCATATTGTCTTCGCCCACTAGAGCCCCTATGTTAAATAAGGTTTATTTTAATATAAGGAGGAAGAGAACAGGTCAGAGGTCAACAGGTTGCTTATCTGGGTTTACTAATATATTCCAGAGTGACTAGCAAGAGATTGTTGAGAATTTTTGATTCTCCCTTGATTAACAATAGTAGCAAAAAAATTTTAAATTATACAGCTGGGATGTATGAAGTTTTAGTAATCCAGGAGTAGATTTTGGTATTTGTCCACTCCTAGTTTAGATACAACAAACTGAAGTTGTACAAAAGGCTGATCTATGAATGCTGATTGCAGGCTGTTCATGTTGGGTTTTTTTTTCTGTCTCCTTTGCTTTTCTTGGCCTTACAGATTCTTTTAAGATCCAATATATGCAGTTCATGGCTTATATGAAAACAAATCAATATAAGGCAACTCTTCAGCAGTTACTGGAACAGGAAAAGGTAAGGTTTTTTTTTAAAGGACTGCCAATTAGTTGCCAATAGAATCAGGTCAGTCGAGAGTCGCTCCTTCCTGAAACAATGTGCATTTTGGTATTTAAAGATGTGGTGAAAGCTACTGTCTTAAATGTTCACACTTTGAATGCAAGCTTATTTCTAACATGATCTCATAATCTTTCCTATATCACCAACTGTATCATTGGATTGTTTCATTTTGTGGGTGTGAACACAAGAAATGAAGACCAAGCTCAGGGGTCCCCAACCTTTTTGGACTGCTAGGCCCATCTAAAGTTTTCAAGATTGTCAGGGAATGGCTGCCATAGAGGAGATTTGCCCATTTATAAAATAACTGCCATTGTAGATGTAGCTAATCACAAAGGGTATGTCTACTCAGAGGCAAGTAGGTGAGATTTTCCCCTATTTTCCTATAACCCTGATGCTCCCAATTTACCTTTGTCTTTTTTCCTAATGAGTAGACACACTTCCCAACATGAAGCACTGAGCTGTTCATTGTCTGCCATGTTGCTTCTGAATGTCTGCTGAGCTTAGAGACATTCTTGAAACTAAGATGATGCTAGAGGTTGACAATTTGCTTTTAGTTAAAAGATTAAAAAAAAAAGCAACTGGATGTAGCCGGGAGCCTGCTAGGCACATTGGTGCCCATGTGGCACCTGATCGGAAATCTCAGACTTCTTGGGTTAAACCCCAAAGCCCAGCTTGTTCTGTCTTTGATACCCTGGCTGACCATATCCTCAAGACATGATGGAAAAAGCTATCCCAAGGCAAGATGGTTCCATATAGCAATCATGGCAAACGGTCATTAATAGGGGTTTCACATACAAGAGGGAATAGTCTTACTCTCTATTCCCCCAGAGTGCAGGACCAGAACCAAAAAGCCCCTTTGCAAAAAGCTCCTGCAGCATGGTGTGCCAAAATGCCCCCTTGCAAAAATCTCCTGGGCACTGCTGGGCTGGGGCAGCTGCAACTTCCCGGGATGTGGCAAACAGCTCCAGAGCCACACAGTTCTGGGCTGCTTGCCACTCCACAAGGCAGGGTGCAGGGCAGCCAGAAGGGCAGAAATGGGGGGGAAGATGGGCAGGTGGGGGAAGTTGGAGGCAGTCCCTTACGTTACTGAGGCTCAGGGCTGGGAGGGACCAAGTCCAAAATGGCTTGGATTGGAGTGGGTACTTGCTTAACAACCCGCAATTCTTGGTCAACGACAGCAACTAGGACTGCTGGGATTGCAGTTGCTAGGTGATGCAGTCATGTGACATCTCACTTTACAACTGCATCACTTAGCGATGGAAATTCCAGCCCCAGTTATGGTTGTAAGTTGAGGACTATCTGTATGCTTCTAAGATTCTGATCTTGTTAAATTTGCCCTCCTCGAATCCTTCTCAGCCTATAGAACCTCTATCCTGTTATGCCAGGCTTCAAAGAATGACATATTTACTTTTCTGAAGTATTGGTGTTTCCCTCCCTCTTTTTGTTCTCTAGGAAAAAAATACTCAGTTACTGGGAAAGGCTCAGCAGTTGTTTACTCACTGTCAGGCTCAGAAAGAAGAAATCAAACGACTGTTCCAGCAGAAACTAGATGAGGTATAATGGGGAGTGGGCTGCTGTACAGGATGCAGGGCAAAAGGGATAGGTCCAATGGCTTTAGTGCTGCAGATTGCAAGGTAGCTAGAACTGCATCCCAGCCAAGGAAAAAGGCAGAGTTGGTGAATCCCTAACTGGAAATTGGTCCTAATCTGAAACTAAAGGGTATAATGAATTTGACACCTATAGAATAGGCCAAAGTTCAAGGGACGTGAGTTTGAGTGTGGGCTTTTTTTGCCTTAATAATGTAATCAGGTGTCTGGCACTAACAACTGTGATAATGGTATGCTAAAATTTAAGATCATGAAAATTACTTGGTACCTGAAGTGGGTCCGAAGTAAGTCTAAGACTTCACTGAGTGTAGCTTTCAGGAATCACCCTGTTTCTGATAAAGTTCTTTTCATTTGTATGTTGCTTTTCCAGTGATTTAGTCCAACACATAGGGGAAATGAGATTAAGATAATACATAACATCAAACTTGGTTATTTTGAGTAAAATAAAAAAGCAAAAATAAATCAAGAGCAATTCTTAATACAGTAGTACTGTACACAAAGATTATACAGTATACACTATATGAAGACACTATATTAATTGTCTATCATCTACTTCATTGCAGTGTAACAGGGTTTTTGTTTTCTTGGTGTCTTTGAGCAGTCTTGACTCCTACTGAGTGCCTGGACATGTCCCTGCAGTTTTCTTGGCAAATTTTTGAAGTGGTTTGTAGTTGCCTTCTTCCTACGGCTGAGAGAGGGTGACTAGCTCAAGGTCATCCAAATGGCTTTGTGCCTAAAGCAGAACTAGAACTCACAGTCTCCCCATTTCTAGCATGGTGTCTTTAACCACTACACCAAACTGGCTCTCAGTATAAAAGTAGTACAAAGTAATTGCAACTTGATTGTAAGGGATCACTAAACAAATGCTGATCAAAGCATACAGTTTTGAATACATTGCAAGTATATAATTCAAAATAACTGAAACTGACATATAGTTTCAAATAATGTCAGTACCAGTCTTTTAAAATCAGCAAATCCTATCCAACATGTCATTAAAAAAATAGAGTGTATTAATGTAATCAGTTAACAATAATGGCTTAATCAGAGGAGGTGAATTATCTGGAGAATAAAACAGTGACAAAGTGTTGTAGTTCTCCTGATCCTTAATACTGATCCAGTTGTACTGTCAAGTAGTGTGATAATCTGTTCCTATTAGGAGTTTGAAAAACTTGAGACAAGGGTGACAAGATGACAATGTTTCTAAAATTCAGCAAAATCTTTGCATTTTTGTTGCTGGACAGATAGTGCTTCTAACTGTTTTGTCCTCTTCCTTTCCCTTTGCAGCTGGGTGTTAAGGCACTGACATACAATGACCTTATCCAAGCCCAGAAAGAGATTTCTGCTCACAATCAGCAGCTGAAAGAGCAGACCAAACAGCTGGAGAAAGATAATGGTGAACTCAGGAACCAGAGTTTACAGCTGGTGCGTATTCTAGTTGCATCAGCGCATGTTTCATCTTGTCTTGAAATCAATTGCAAATTCCAGTTCTGGTTTTCATGTAAATAAAGATTGTCATCCTCTCTGTGCCTCCATTCCAAAAATTCTAAGATTGTGAAACAACCAAGGCTTAGTGGTAAAAACTAGGCTTTGCATTTAGGCGGTCCCAGGAACATGGAGAATTGCACCCAGTTGAAGACAGACTATGATGGGTTAGATGGAAGAGTCAGACTAGTATGAAACTTTGTATATAGGTGTGAGCAAAGATCTGTAGCTGAACTACTTTTAGCCTAGCCAGATGAACTGTAGTCAGCAGCAGAGCACATGCTTTAAATGTGTGAAGTTCTTTGGATTCTTCAGTCATTGGGATCTCATCCAGCAGACTCTGCCTATGACAGCCAAACAGAAGAAGCGGTAATGAGCTAGACTGGAATAATGTGGGATACATCACATTTTATATCAATAGCCTAGATTTATATGACACAAAAGGTTAATTTTGACAGTATGATGTAGAATTTTCCAAATACTATATTTCCCATTCTTTTTCTACATCCTTCCAGCTGAAAGCTAGATGTGAAGAACTAAAGCTGGACTGGTCAACACTTTCACTGGAAAATCTTCTCAAAGAAAAGCAAGCACTAAAAAATCAGATTTCTGAGAAGCAAAAGCATTGCTTGGAATTGCAGGTAGGGTATAGACAGGATGTAATACCTTTTGTTAGAATTAATTTCTAATGCTGCCTTACCTCTCCAAGATTATAACAGTTCTTTTAAAAAAACTGGGCAATGGGTTTTGTAGTGTTCCCTGATGGTCGGGTGGGTGCCCTGATGCTTCACATGGCTAATTCCTTGTCTTCAGAGGGGAGTACAGTTCATGGGGCAGTTCAGGCAAGGTGGACCAGCATATCGAGCAAGGAGCATTCTTCCATAGCATGGCTGACTTTCCTAAATGGAAGAGAGGAGGGCAAGATTTGCTGGGCTCTTAGAGGAATCAAAGGAGCTTCAGGATTGAAAAATGTGAAGTGAGTGTTATTCCTAAAATATCTTACGATAATAACATTTAATGGTGTTCTTCTTTCTCCTATCATTTTAAAGATCAGCATTGTGGAGCTTGAGAAAAGCCAAAGGCAGCAGGAACTTCTGCAGCTGAAATCATACATGCCCTCTGATGAATCGCTGCCAGCCCAGCCACGCCATAAAAACCATCTGAACCGGGAGGCAGACCCTGACCACAGCACGTTTCACCTGGAGCTAGAGTGCCCCAAGTTCCCTGTGCCCCAGGTCAATGGCATGAGTCCTGAGCTGTCCATAAATGGCCATGCCACATCTTACGAAATCCACAATGCCCTCGGCCGGCCAGCCTCTAAGCAGACTACCCCTCAGTACCCAGCTGCCCACTTGGACCAAGACATAGTTCCTTGCACCCCAATCCATAGCTGCAGACAGAAGCTGGACAAAGCCTCAAGTTTATCCCTGCCAGATTATACCAGGTTTTCTCCAGCTAAGATTGCCCTCCGGAGGCATTTGAACCAAGACCACATAGGCAGTGGGAAAACAGCACCCAGTGAGAACCATCAGAGGTGAGGAGCAGGGTGGTTAGGTCATGCGTTTCTTGCTTGATGGTGATCTTGAGTGAATTAGTGCTACATCTTGGTTCAGATGACAGCTTCATGCAGATAGATCTATGAAAAAAAGGAATGCACTCCTCTCTAATTCTGGTGCTGCCTGCTATGAACCAAGTAAGGCTTTGAGGATATGCAGATTTTTATTAACTCCAATTTCAATTCAGTTTGTTCTAGCAATCCTCTCTTGGTTCAGTCACTTTAAAATAGGAGAGGAATTGGAAGATATCTGTTGGGTTCTTGATGTTCTCTGAGTTTAATTGTTTTCCTGCAGACATTTTGTTACCAGGCTAGATAACATCATCAGTGCAAAGAAGAAAGAAGGAGTGAAGCTTGCTGGTTGTTTATATATAATAGTTTGCCCTGCCAGTCTTGGTTAGGATGCAGTTTCTTCCTTGTTAGTTGCTGAATTCTTCCCTGATTGTTTATCGGGTGTTGTTTCCTGCTTCTCTGGGTGTCAGTTGCTAGGGAGGATGTGGGGTGTTTGGTTTCTTCCTTAACTTTTGATTATGTGGAGTCCTTGTGGTTCTCTGAGCTTGGTTGTTTTCTTGCAGGTGTTTCGTTACCCGTCTAGGTAACATCTTCAGTGCTAGAAGGGAGTGGTTTTGGTTATGTCTTTTCAATAGTGTATATGTATGGTTTATCTCTAAGTCTGTTGATGGCTGATTTGTCAGAATGCCAAGCTTCCAAGAATTCCCTAGCATTTTTGGATTTGGCTTGATCTAAAATGCCAACAGTTCCCCGGTTGAAATTGTGGTTGCATTTGTCTATGTGTTAAGAGATTATGGAATTTTCATGTCTTCTGACTGCCAGTTGATGTTTGTGGATGTGTTCTGCCAATTTTCAACCTGCCTGTCGTACACAGAGGTAGGTGGAAAACTACCGTATATAAACAACCGCTAAACTTCACTTTCCCATGCAGTGATAATGTTACTGGTAATGAAACATCTGCAGAAAAACAACCAAAGCCAGAGAACAGCAAGAACCCAATAGTTCAACCGTGAGCTACATATATTCTCAAGTGTCGGAAATTACCTTTCTGGTAACAGTGACCGTCTGAAATAACTGGAGGATGGCTACTCTGCTAATGGGTGGTACCTTCAGCTGAATCCTGAATGGGGAAACTCTAAAGGAGCATGGGAAGCTGGCATGCTACAAATCAGAGTGCTATCCTCCAGACTCGTTTTTATTATCAAGAACGCCTTTGGGCTTAGAGGAAAGATGCAGCCAAATGCTTTGTGGGGAAGCATGCTTACATACACAGTAGTCAGCGGGGGAGCCAGTAAGCGTTCTGTGGGTGGAAGAGAGAGAGGGGGTGGCAGACAGTATTCTTTGAAATTGGTTATACCACTCCCACCCATCCCTGCCTTAGCAGCCATTTTGTGAATAGGTAAGCTTTCTCCTAACCATTGGTTTAGGAGGAAGCCTGCAATATCTTTTCAAATGTCAAACGGCATATTTTTACTATCCGATACATCAGATATTATCTAATGAGCCGCCTCTTCCTTTAAAAATCCATTCAGCTGTTCAGATTTGAAAGATAGGGCTTTTTGAAGATCATCAAGCTATCAGAAGCCCATCTTTCTGGCACATGGAAGAGGGCCTTCCTTTGCATTGCTTCCCTACTGTAGAATGGACCACAAGGTCTTTGTTTTTAGTGAAGTAGAAACCTTCAAAAGCCTTTTTTATGTTTCAGAGCTGAACATTTAAAAGAAAATGGCCTTCCGTTTCCAAGCCCTTCAGTATCAAACGTCATGAAGATGAGCCCTCTGGAAGCCAGACCTCCTTCTCCAGCAGCCTTGCCAGCTGGGAATGAGAAGGTAAGGAATTGTAGGATGTCGTCTTGGAACCTCTGGGGGCAGTTCTTGTACCTGAGCAGCAGTGACTGAATGGGGACTTTTGGTGTCAATTGGTAGCATGCTGGGAGTAGGAAATTAATATTATTGAAGCGCACTTGTGGAGTGCAGATAAGAACATGGAATAGTGAAGACAGAAAAACTGAATAGCATCTTGAAGTGACACAAATACTTACTTCCAAAGCTGCATTTACACATAACACTCAATTAGAAATGACGGCTGCTTAAATCAGACTCTGAACAGTACGTTGATTGCAAGTAGCCATTTACTTCTTTTATGAAGTAGGTAAACAAACCAATATGGGAGGGAGTAGTGATGAGAATGGAGAAAGGTTTGCATTATATCTCAGCCTGGGATTATGATGACATTCATCCAAACTGAAATTTTGTAAATATGTTTTTCTGGGCACACTTAGCTGTAATCTCAGGTTTAGATACTATGTGGAACCAAATGGACCGTGTGCAACAAGCATACTCTTAGTTTATTAAGCTTATAGTAATTTGTTAAGCCAGGATTCCTGGTAGAGTTATGTGCAAGTCTGATTGGTATTTTTTTTAACCAAAATGAGATGGAGAAAAAAATGCGGTACAGCTGGATTCTACAGGAATTTGCAAACTAAAAAGCTCAGATTAAAGTACAATATTTAAAGCTCCTAACGGGAAATACATTCGTCTACTGCTTAATCATGTTTTAGGAATCTGTACAATGCTTATTCTTGATGAGGTGTGGAGGAGGAAGGGAATATATCTTGTTTTGCATATCCTTCAAGTTTAAATGGGCTTCATAACTGAGTATCAAGTTGTAATCAGGCTTGATTAAAAAATGAGGCCTAATTTGTTTGCAAATTAGAGTAAATATACTGGCATAACCATTTAAATTAGATGCTCTGCTGTAGAAACAGGTGCAGATAAATTCCTGATCTCCAAAGCACAGCTGTGTGACGGGCAGCGTGATGCCACGTGTAGTTCCCACCTCCTCCCTTCCATGGTTTGCTTTAACCACGGGGCAACTTAGGAAGGGGAGCCTCCATTAGTTGATGAATTATAACTCCCAGCATCCTCCACTTGCAGACTGCGACATCTGACAATGTTTGGGCTGTAAGTTTGCCATCCCAGAATACCATTTTCTTGACCATAATTCACGTCAGTGGCAATCTGCATCCCTTTAAAACTAGGCTTGTCATTCCAGTTCAGGGTCTGGTTGTGCAGGCAATCAAACAGACTTGCTCTTTTCTAACTGTAATCGCTTCTTCATTTTGGACTATAATTTTGCCCCCTCTTATTTTCTTATTGGGTGGCACATCTTTTTTTAAACTCCCTTTGCATTTTTTGTGCACGCTATCCCCTACTATTACTAGAGTTTTGCAAATTATTTTCTGTAATAATAGTGTATTCTCAAGAATCCTTTTTGGTAAGTTACATATATTTATGTATGTAACTTACTTTTTTTAATTGCAAACTGCACCACAAAATTCCCCAAAGTGCAGGTATAAGAGTTGCATGAATGTTAATGAGTGGATTCCTAAAAACATCAGCATCTTTTTTTCAGGCTTGCCCAGAAGCCAAAACAATAGCTGGACTACTTTAATAAACGGAAAAGAGGTGCTGTGCTTGTGTCTGCACAAGGACCAAATCATTTTCAGAGCGTGCACAGCCCTAAGAGACAGCTGTATTTACATCCTGTACATGCATATGATTAACTCATGGCTAGAGTAAACCATGGAAGGTAGTGAGTATTCCTCAGATTTACATTCTCACTCCCTGTTTCCTAATCAGAGCTAGAATTTGTATACGCATTATTCTTATTATTCAATCAGAAATCAATGGTAACTCGCTCAGACTTCCACAGCCTGGATCCCTCTAGAGATGTTAGGATTGCAATTCTGTAATTCCCAGTTGGTGGAGCCAACAGGTTGTGATCCCAACGCAATTGAAGGGCACCAGGTTGGAGAAAGGTGAACCATCTATTGTGCAATACGGCTTAGCTGTTGTCTTGTAAATTTACTATATATACTTTACCCTAGTGACACATGGTTATGGAAATATTTCCTTATGCACCATAGTAATCCGAAACACAGCTGCTAAGTATAAATACCTGGCACTATAAACTGTTTTAGTTGGGTGAGCAACCACACTGTGGTTATATTTCCCTGTTAGATCATTAAATAAAACATGAACTGTTTGTGTGGTCTGTGTGCATATGTTGGCTGGCTGATGCAATTGACTTTGTCTGCCTCTTTAAGAATATTTTTGTTTGAAGGGTAGAAAAATGCTTGCAATGCCTCAGGACGCCCCCTTGCACCAAATACGTGGGCCCACAGCCGTGGCCCAGAAGCACCAGCTGATGATGCAAGCTGCATTTTTGGCCTTGTCTGCTTTGTGTGTTTGCAGGCTTTGCGCGAGAGGACGTCTGCGAATAACGGGGAGACGATCACCAGCCTTCCCATCAGTATTCCCCTCAGCACAGTGCAGCCCAATAAACTCCCTGTTAGTATTCCCTTGGCCAGCGTAGTCCTTCCTAGCCGTGTTGAGAAGGTGGTGAGTAAGGGCACTTTTTTCCCCCTGTAAAGCCCCCTTGCTGTAAAGCCAACCGTACCATATTACAATGAATTGTAGCATTATGTAAGTGTGCTGGCAAGGTAATGGAGCGTGCTTCCCTAAGGCCTATAGCTCTGTGCTCTGTTTCTTGCTGCCTCTTAGCTGAACTTACTAAATCATTTCCACAATCTTACTGAAGTTTGATGCATGATACTGATTCCTAAGAAATTCCATTCTTTTTCTTTTCTTTTTACATCACTCTTATAGTCCTCGTTTATTCTAGATACCTATAACCTTTCTATACATGTGCTAAGAGGAGGTTTTCAATTCTATGTTCAGCCCTTAAGCTACCTTGAGCAGCTTTGTTCTAGCTTCTGGTTTCGTTGTTGAGGTTGCCAAGCTGTTAAAGAGCGACTATTTGAATAAAGGCTAGTTTAAGTACTTGGTATGTCAGCCACAATAACCTTGTGGGTGATATGGGTTGTACAGAATATTTTCTTTCCTAGGCGAAATGGCTTTAGTTCAGTGGCCGAGTGCAGACTTTGCATACAGGACATCCCAGGTTCAGTCCTGCATCTATGACTAGGATGAGGGTAGACAATCCTTTAATGGCTCTGGGTTGCACTTAAAATTTTCGGGGAGACTGAGGGCAGCAGTGCGTGGAGCAGTACTGCATAGTGGAGTGAACTGCATCATGCATATGGACAAAGCCTGGGTTTTCCATATTTTTTCACAGTTTGGATGAGTTCTTTTGCTTCTTAAATTGTGTCACTCCTATTAAGGCCTGACACTCTAGCATTTATGTGTTTGCAGCCTCAGTATGGTGGAAGCCATGCCAACGGGTTTCAGCTGCCATGGTTAGAAGGGTCTCCAAGGGCCTCAAAAAGGGATGTGACCACATATAGTCCATGGGCTAGAATGTTAGGTCATGGGTTATAGGCAGATAATGACTGCTAATCAGAGTAGGCAACTGGGATAGATAAATAAATAGTTTGACATGATTTGAAGCCACTTCCTTTGCTGTAATCTGCAGGTGGAAATGGTTCCTCCTGGAAAAATGGAGTTCTGAGTGTAATTGTGTTTTACTTTCTTTCTGATTACTACTTAGCAGCAGTCTAACCTTACACATGAATGGTAGTTTAAAAAATATTTGATTTAACTGAAGTTAATTTTATTATGCTTCCTTTTCCAACCACCTCCTTTTCCTCCCTTTCTTCTTTCAGAGAAGCACACCTAGCCCTGTCCATCAGAACCGAGATTCCTTTTCAACACTTGAAAAACAATTTGGTGCTAGTTCTCATAACAGCGTTAGCGCCGCTGCTGGTAACAAGCCACTGACCTTGGCTACCTCAGGTGAGTGCCTTCCCTTCTCACCACTGCTTTCCAACTTAGGTGTGTTTGACCATCCTAGCTGCTCATAAGTTGAAATGCAGGTGCACGCAAAACAGGTACAGTGGTGCTTAAAAGTTTGTGAACCCTTTTGAATTTTCAATATTTCTGCATAAATAT